AGAAAATGCTACACAGTGTAAAATAGGTTTTTGTCTTTGTTTACATTTCGAACCAGCGCAGTCTTTCGAGCACAGCGTTCGTTTTCACACCAAATATGTTTCGTCTCATTTTATCTAGAAAGTTGGCATTGGTGACAAAGACCACTTGCAGTTTGAGTCTAAAATGTATGGGGAGTTTATTGATGCATTTTTCGAAGCTGAATATGAAATATACGTGATGTAATATGCGTCTCAATACCGGCCTTCGCGAAACGTGATTTTGTAAACACTATCCAATATGGCGGAAAGCGCTCTACGGCGTTCGTGTAAGTGCATTTTCGAAAACATCCCAACCGATTCTAGATTCATCGGCAACGTTTCAGAATTTTACTTAGCGATTTCATGTAAAACTGATATGAGTGATCATGAATGTTATTTTTGAAATTCAATAATCCCAGTAATTATCCGGTTTTCACATTTCAAAACATACAGCAAATAACGCTGTGAATCGCGATTTCGTACTGTGTCAAAAATGGCGACATTTTCGATGAAGCCTATTTTGAAAGGTCATTTTCAGCACTTGAACTTTGTCTAAAATAATAGTGGATGGTATCAAGAAACAGGAAATTTCCCGAAGAATTCGAAACTGTGAAGTGTATTTGTGTGCGTGGGATATTTTGATTTTTATTGGACTTGAAATTGAGGGTTGAAGGGGAAGGACATATATGTCCCTGTGGCATCCAGGGGGTTAAAAGCGAAATAGAGGTGAAAAGAATGTGAATATAAATCGATGAGTATCTACGTCTTGGCTCAGATGAATATAAATAGTTACACCGAAGCTCTAATATTTCTCCTCTGCATTCTAGAACCATGTCAATATCCCATTCGTTAGATGTACGTACATGTAAAACGCATTAGTACAGCGCTGATATTCAGGATGGTTTCGGCACACGAGCCAGACATTTGGGATTTCAATTATGCCCGCGATTTTCTACTATTTTTTCAATTTTGCCTGTGTTTGTTCGAGGGGAACGTGTATTTGTACTGACTGTTACAGACTAACATCTAGTCTCTGAAATGAACATATTTTACAGAAGAAGTTGTTCTTAAAAAATAATCATAATATATCATGAAAAGGAGCCGGAGACTGCAGAACTCTAGACTTGCCACATATTCTAGACTTGCATGGGCTTTCTTGGATATATTTGTTTCAGGGTCTGTATGACAGACTATGACTGTTATGAACCCATCACATACACATGCGCTAGAAAAGGTATCATATGTAATGGAAACATTTCTAAGTGGAAATATGATGTAAATATAACATAGTCAAACACCACTGAGTCCAACGTTGATGTGCCGAAGGTACGGTTATCTCGAAGTGAAAGCTTGGTCACTGTGCATTCTTAATGCGATCATCATTTTCCGGCTGTGTGGAACCTCGGTTAACTCGAAAAATATCCTTAGGTCCATTTTATTTTGACACAACGTTGTCAATAAGAATTTGAAAAAATACCAAAACCATAACTGCAATATTTGAAAAAAGTCCCCACTACGAATAGTTCAGTGTTGATTCCGACTGGGATGTGTATATCGGTCAGTATGAAAATTAATAGGTTTGAACTTTTGAGATATTCAAATGTAAATTTAAACTAAATTACTATCGGAAATACAAAAACACACACACTGTTTTTATGCTGTTACTCTGTATCCCTAAAATTTACACAATTGCAAATAGAAGATGTCGAAATAACCCACATCGGCCTAACTGGGCGGTCAGTGGGATGGGTAATAGGATATCCCGAAAAGCATGTTTACTCGTAAGATCGGGCAGAACTTATAAATATTACGAATAGCTGCGGAAAACAATAGATCAGACTATAGATGGCAATTAGGTCGCTCAGACAGGTATGACGACGGACCGTCGACTCACCTAGCATGAAATGCATGTGCTGCCTACAGGCAAAGGGGGTCATCATGTGTGTTGAATATGTCTCACCTATTGATTAACATCTTACGTGTCTTTCATAACGTTCATGTTGAGATATGTAACAGAGTATGATACTCATAGAAAAGCTTAAATCAGCCATCGTATTAAATGTCTCAAAATAAATAGGTGGCATAACCACCCGAAGATCGACAGGACTGGATATTATTTGTAAATTGTTAATACATACCGTTTGCTTCCCCAGTTTATTTCCCCTAAAGGATTATCTTATCTCAGCTGATATCTCTATCCCCCAGCCCGACCCCAACCACCGTTTGCGACACCCGTCCTGGTTTTGCTTTTGAGACGACTCCTCATACCTGTTTCTTTTTGTAGGGATAGTGAGATTCCATGGTAGCTACATCCTACACCCACGGATTACATGTATGAGTGACACAGACATACCAGACCCTGCAACCAAATAGGAAATTTGTAGTATAAAGTGGATCGATTTAAGCTCATGAGTCATACGAGGATGGAGTGCCATTAGATTGGATCAGAGCATTCTTGAGTGTTTTGAGCCGATGACGGAGTTCGGCCGCACATCGGAATGGGCCCCCAGATGGTCAAATGGTGTTTAGACTTGTAAGAGTTATCTCCCATCACGTATCGCGCTGTTATGTCATCAACAGGTGAGGTGAGGTTTAAATTGGGTTTAACGTCGTGCTTGAGAATATTTCGCTCATATGACGACGTGCGTGCGTGTGTATGTGTATGTGCGGCTGCTTGTACTAGCCCAGATTGAAGTTGGTTTTATAGTGCTAGCCCACTGAGAGACCATGCCGCAGTGAAGCATGAATACCCCACTCAGATACATTATACTGACTCCGAGCCGACCAGTCCTTGTTGTACCCATTAATGCCGAGCGCCAGGCAGGGACCAACAAGTACCATATTTTAACGTCTTTTTGGTATGACGCGGTCGGGGATCATCAACAGGGCATTTTATTTCGTGTGTGATACAAGATGAAATAAAGCGGCAGTAAAATCAGTTTTATTACTGCACCTTGCCAGACTGTCATATGTTCTGAAAATATAATGTTGTAGGTTCAAAAGTAATTCATAAAGTGAAAGAATCTTTTGAAGCGTTGATTGAACAATTTAATTACTAAAAAATAGAAAATAAGATAGAAATGAAATAAATTATAAACAGAAAAGTTGTTCATGGTTTCCATGGCAGAGTAGTTGGCCCTGTCCTGCACCGTTCATGCAAGTTAGTGGCTCAGTCGGCAGTGCCAAATATGGCGGGCAAATTTATAAGGCGGCGGTTTGTTAATAATTGAGTCTTATCACACAATCCAGTGATCAACAGCATGGACATCGATCTACTCGATTAAGATACGATACATGTGTGAAGCAAGTCAGCGAGACTGACCACCTGATCTAAGTAGTCTCTTTGGACAAGCATGGGTTGCTAATGACCAGTTTAACCCCGATCTTCACAGGTTATATGATATAAGTCTTACCACACACTGTAATTACCATTAAGATTGAAACCCACATGACACCATAGGGGGCATCCACAAACGAGAACCACAGGTACAGCAGCCAACAGCCAGCACACTGTGGTCAAAGTCGTTGCTGTGACGGCAGCGTGGAGGTTGAGGTGAGCACGGATTCTCAAGAACAGAGGTCCTAACATGTTACCTGTTGCAGTGACTGGAGGGATCAGTCTGAAGAGTTGCAGTGTGACAGGATACATTGTTGACCTCGACGTGCTGGTCCAAGACCACTGGCAGGTGCGCCCTGTTCATTAACATAAGGGGCATGATCAGTATCAGTGTAAAATAAAGTTTGAGATGAGGTGAGGTGAAATGGGGTTTAACGTCGTGGTTAAGAATATGTCACTCTCATGACGACGAGCATGCGTGTGTATGTGTGGCTGCTTGTACTAGCCCCGGCTTAAGCTGGTTTTATAGTGCTAGCTCAATGTGATACCATGCCGCAGTAAAGCATGAATACCCCACTCAGAAACATTATACTGACTCCGAGCCGACCAGTCCTTGTTGCACCCATTAATACCGAGCGCCAGGCAGGGACCAACAAGTACCATATTTTAACGTCTTTTGGTATGAAGAGCCTGGGCATCGATCCTGCGACCTTCAGCTCTCCGGCGGACGCTCTAACCACTGCACCGCGAAATAAAGTTTGAATAATAAATTTTAATTGAAACATGAAAGGCTGGCCTTGGCTGGCATTATTGTCATCAAAACGATGGTTGTTAATAGGATAAGTAAGACAGTCCCACTTAGATATAAGGACATTGGGAGAGTTCAGTGATAAAAGCGTTCGCCCACCACACCAAACACTTGGCTTCGATTCCTGACATGGGAAATATGATACAACATTCATCCAGTAGTATTACTGTCCCAGTCTATCTAACTGCCATTCACACATGTGTCACACGTAATATACATCAATATTTTATGACATATAATCGTACTAAAGCATGTGAACATTTCTAAACACATATTATCACTTAAAATTTAATGTCATACATTTCATTTGTGCCAAAGACGATAGCTATAAAAGGGTACGCGAAATTGTGTCGCCGCTGTGCTTAGTTCCGATACATTTCACTGACAGCATAATGTATAAGAGCGCATATTCTTTATGAATTACTACTATCAAGTTGCTATTATAGATTTATTACCAATACTTAGTGCCAATATATGATTGAACAAAAACTTACAAACTCGCTGACATGAATACTAAATGCCTTTTTGGAAGTGGTCAGATGTAAAATATATTGTGTTATATTTGATCATACAGTTTCTTAGGAAAGTACAGATTCGAGTACATTATTTTGAAATAATAAAAATTGTTGCATTTATAAATGCTTCCACATAAGGACCTCAGAATGCAGTATGCCAAAACCAATCCTCATTTTCCAAGGTACTATTTCAGTCATATCTCTCCTGACCCTGAATTGTAAAGGCCAAAGTCGTGATAACCTATATGCAAGTGTTTCAAAACTGTTACAAAGTTCCACAATGGACAACCATGGCATGGAGGTGATATATTCACTGGTAATGATCACCCTGTTTCTACCATATTCTTCTCCAGGTATTTCACTTTCCAATCAATTAATTATTCTGAATATATATCATTGCCCATTACATTTTGACACAGATATGTTTATTGATTTTGAGTTAAGGGTTTTTTTTATGGAACAAACTTTATGGATAACAACTTGTTTTATTCGTGAGTGCAACGTTTCGATACCGATTCTTGTACCGTTGTCATCCAAGTTAAGCTTTCTGGGTGGTAATTCTACTCATTCAATTTAACGTTTATGTCCTCATTGTAATATTTTTGTGTAGATGATTTCCAATTATTGCACCACGTCACTCCTCACATCTACACTATAGCAGGCAGTTGGCTGGGCTTGTGATTAATTGTTTGTGCTACCTAAAAATATTGCACAAAGACATGCCAGAGGTACAGATAAGCTGCGTATCTGCGTAAATTAGGCAAATAATTATTTCAAAACTCAATTCCTATTAAGTCATTGCGTACAAGTACGCTTGAATTATTTGTAAATACTCAATAAATGTGATCTTAAATACGTACACACAAAAATAGATAAAATAACTGAGGTATATTGAGAGGTTCTATTTTAGCACATGAACTTGGCAACTTGCAGTCTTTCTTCTCGTTTCTCATATTAGAGATCAAACATAAACATCAAACATGTAAACCAACATTTGACACTTTATTATATTTTAACAGTAAATGGAAAATGGCAAAATACCCAATTGATTTTGAGTGAGGTGGGTACAATTTATTTGGTTACTCGAAGAAAAATTAGGATACCGAATTGAGATGAACACAAGCGATTACATAACCCAATGACCCAAAAAGTTATCTGTAGCTCTTTAATCATGCCTTGTGTGACATGACGGTGGAGGAGGATTCGCTCACCTTTTCGCGAACACCTCGTTTCACCACCAGCTGATAGTGAAGCATACCACTCAAGACATACAACTTCTGGCAGGGATGTGCAGTGATTATGAACAGTGTTTTGCCTCATCCATTGTCGTTGTTGGGTTCCACGTTTCCACTAGACAATGGCTTATCAGAATGACTTAGTGTAATTGCGTAGATCGATGCTAATGATATCGATACATGTTCACCGTTGACACAATCAAAAGCGAAGTTAACAATGATAATTGTGTTTGTTCTTCATTTTCAACTATTAAATGAAAGTGCTTTTACAAATGTCACTATCGGGATCTTCGGTGGTCAGATTGTAGCTGGCTGCCGCTTGACCACCGGACTTTGAACTTGGATCGACGCTACAGGCGCTGTCAGATCATAAGTTTGCTGACGGCAGCGTTGTTTACTCGCGCTATAACGAAGCGGGTTGCCTAACACTGACATTGTAAATACTCGGATGACGTCTTGTATTTAAGAATAAAGTTGTCTTTAATAAGATAGTGTCAGTTTTTACAACTGCACATGTGATAATAGAGATAACAACGGACTTTTATTATCATTCAGTTGGTCTTCATAGGCCAAGTTTTTGTAAGCGTCGGAAAACCCATAACACGATTATACAATACGCATGCCACACTGAACTTTGGACTTAGAACTGTGAATTTACATGCTCTCCCTATTAAGACCAACTGAATGATACTTAACCTAATGCTGACATACTCGAATATCATTTGATGCTGGAATGCTACACTTTGCAAGTCACCAGTGTGACTGCTGGACATGTTCCTGTTCTCTCTTGAAGTTCGTGTTTTGAATTCTAGAAATTTCATGATCATTCACGTTGGTATTTCTGAAAGAACGACGACTGGTTTTTGGGGCATTGCTCGGAATTAAAGTTGAACATGATAAACACACATCAAATATGAACTTACCGCTATATATTCGAGGAAAACAGTACTACGGCGGCCAAGCTCGAGATCGCGTTGCGTCGTCTGCTCAAATAGAAGAGCGCAAAACAAAGCGCCCTCTACGAGAAGCTACAATTTTAGAGTAGCGTCCCTTGAATGAAATTTCCGATGCTACCCGGCGTTGTAACGACGTTTGGCCAAAGATCGATGCATTAATGCACAGCGAGCTTTTACATTATCACAGCTTTGTATGTACGAGTTTATCAAGGTGCGTCTCAAAGATACTTCATAGTGTTAAAACAACTTCATGTATTAATAACAGAAACAGGTTATTAATGAAACGAACTCCTACGCATTTTACCAGGAAAAAATAAAAAATAAAATAAAATAAAATAAAATAAAATAAAATAAAATAAAAATAAAATAAAATAAAATAAAATAAAATAAAATAAAATAAAATAAAATAAAATAAATGCAAACAAATAATACAATAACAAACAACAAAAGTCAGTTATTTAATCAGCAAGGGTGTAAGTATATTACATATTACTTGTGATTATACATGTTTCTGTTTGTTGGTTAACGCCGCACTCAGCAATATTCCAGCTATGCAATAATGAGTCTGTACAATGGTAACATAGAATGGTCCTGTCACCTACCCTTGTGTCAATGTTTAAGGCATTTTCTGTGTAATACGATAATACTTCGGTTTATCCGAGGTTCGACACACAAAATATGAATAAAGGAAGAATACGTAGGGACTAAGCTCATACTTCGAGAAAATCGTGTGTTTGACTGCAAGTTCCCCAAGCCATCCGTCATATTCAGTCCCTGCCTGGACAAAAGAATATCCCCGTCAAAAGTTGAGTGAAATATTAGCAATAACGCAAAGAGCCTGAATGATCATATACCATTCATATCAAACCATGTCTTGGACGCTTGAAGGTCGGAATTGGTCCTCAGTTTGTCATAACAGCGACTTACGAGATTTCGAGATGTCATCACATTCAACTTACAGAGATCGATGCTCATGATATCAATCACTGGGTTTTCTGGACCAGACTTTATTATTTAGCAGCCGTCATATGAATGGATTATTGCTGAGTGCGACGTTGACAAACAAACAAACCCTTGCTTGTCGTAACAGGCGACTTACGAGATAATTCATGTCATCATACGAAACACACAAACAGAGCTACAGATAACTTTTGGGGCCATTGGGTTATGTACCCGCTTGTGTTCATCTCAATTCGGTATCCTAATTTTTCCTTGAGTAACCAAATACATTGTACCCACCTCGATCAAAACTCAATTGGGCATTTTGCCATTTCCCATTTACTGTTAAAATATAATAAAGTTTAAACGTTGGTTTACATGTCTGTTATATATATTTGATCTCTAATATGAGAAACGAGAAGAAAGACTGCAAGTTGCCAAGTTCATGTGCTAAAATAGAACCTCTCAATATACCTCAGTTATTTTATCTATTTTTGTGTGTACGCATTTAAGATCACATTTATGGAGTATTTACAAAAAATTCAAGCGTACTTGTACGCAATGACTTAATAGGAATTGAGTTTTGAAATAACTATTTGCCTAATTTACGCAGATACGCAGCTTAAATGTACCTCTGAAACAATATACTGTCAACACCCACCACGCTTTCCTTCCACAGCCTATGTGGGATGCTACAAAGATCTGGAGAATCACCGTGTTTTTCCTCACGAGAAACCGTCTTCCACTGATATGAACGTTGAGATGTGTATTAAGGAATGCTCTGGAAATCGATATGCTGGCGTTGAGGTGAGTAAAGTAATGTGCACCATGATTATTAAAGAAATAGTATCAAAATAAATTATATACATATGTGTGGCATTTGTGAAAACACCAGAAAGATTACACGGTGACCATTTAAAGACAAAGTGAGTAAGTGAGTTAAGTTTTACGCCGCACTCAGCAATATGCCAGCTATATGGCGGCGGTGTGTAAATAATCGAGTCTGGACCAGACAATCCAGTGATCAGCAGCATGAGCATCGATCTGCGCAATTGGGAACCAATGACATGTGTCAACCAAGTCAGCGAGCCTGACCACCCGATCCCGTTATTCGCCTCTTACGACAAGCATGGGTTACTAACGATCACTATTCTAACTCGGACCTTCACGGGTTAAAGACAAAGAGTGAATACAAAACATCTCGCAGTTTTTCGGGTTTTTTTTGTCTTTGAAGATGTAATACAGCTATCGATGTGTTTGGTTCTACACCAATGTATGGATGGGCATTTCTTCTACAAGAATGGCAACGAGTATTGGAGTGGAGCTACGGTATATTTGGTTCCACCAGGGATTCGAAGTAGAATCTGAGAAAGGACAATCCCAAATATAAGATATGTTCCATCGGACCACTTTGCAAAAGGCATTGTGTATCCATGAATACATGGGTATTACTAATTTTCAGTGGTCCATTCATTAGACTTTGAGTGCTGTCATCGCCGCTGTGTACTGACTACTAAGCATTGTGTATCCTTGAATATATATTGCCCTTAAGACCACTTGAAATCTAGCCCTGAGGTTTCACACTGACGCTGTGTACTTCTACTAGAATGGTGACGAGTGTTGGTGCGGGGCATCAGTGGGCGATGACACGAAGGTGGCGGAGGACCACTGCAGGATGCAATGTTCGGGCGACCATGGTCAGATATGCGGCGATGCCTGGTATATATCGGTGTATACAACAGGTACAATTTATCTGTTCGATTTAATGCCTCATGAAAGTATACTCATGCCAATAATGGTTGTCACCCCCTTCAATCTTTTTTATTGGAGAGGGTGTGTGGGGTTGGGGTGGGGAGGGGGGTGACAACCATTATTGGCATGAGTATATTTAGAAAAAACCATTTATTTTAAGAAGATGAAACCATAGCCTATATATGCCAACACTTTAAAAGCACCATTCAATAGATTTTATTGAAATTTCTTTAATAAGCATTGTTTTTTAAATAATATGCACAGACGATACGTTGGTTTATTATTATAAAAGTGCAATCAAAGGTTAGTTACGTATTGTATGAGGGGCGGTAGGGTAGCCTTGTGTTCCTGTGGTTAAAGCATTCTCGTCACGCCGAATACCATGGCATTGTTTGCCTGATCAGCATTATTATAAAAAAAACTTCATTTCAGCTTCAGATTTCTCAATTGCTTTAATAGGATCAGCATTATTATTAGAAAAAAGTTCACAGTTCAACTGTCATTTCAGCTTCAGATTTCTCCAATGTTGTAACCAAAGGCTACATATCTTCTGCCAGTGGTCTTCACATGGTATCGGGTCTGGCTGCAAGCAGGGCACATCCTGGCTACCTCTATGTCATCAATGACAATGCCGGGGCAGACAAGATCTACATGGTTCATGATGACACAGCTAAAGTAGCAGGTACGTACAAGGAGTTGTCAGTATACTGCAAGCAGGGCACATCCTGGCTACCTCTATGTCATCAATGACAATGTCGGGGCAGACAAGATCTACATGGTTCATGATGACACAGCTAAAGTAGCAGGTTAGTACAAGGAGTTGTGTGTATACTGCAAGCAGGGCACATCCTGGCTACCTCTATGTCATCAATGACAATGCCGGGGCAGACAAGATCTACATGGTTCATGATGACACAGCTAAAGTAGCAGGTACGTACAAGGAGTTGTGTGTATACTGCAAGCAGGGCACATCCTGGCTACCTCTATGTCATCAATGATAATGCCGGGGCAGACAAGATCTACATGGTTCATGATGACACAGCTAAAGTAGCAGGTACGTACAAGGAGTTGTCAGTATACTGCAAGCAGGGCACATCCTGGCTACCTCTATGCCATCAATGACAATGCTGGGGCAGACAAGATCTACATGGTTCATGATGACACAGCTAAAGTAGCAGGTACGTACAAGGAGTTGTGTGTATACTGCAAGCAGGGCACATCCTGGCTACCTCTATGTCATCAATGACAATGCCGGGTCAGACAAGATCTACATGGTTCATGATGACACAGCTAAAGTAGCAGGTACGTACAAGGAGTTGTCAGTATACTGCAAGCAGGGCACATCCTGGCTACCTCTATGTCATCAATGACAATGCCGGGGCAGACAAGATCTACATGGTTCATGATGACACAGCTAAAGTAGCAGGTACGTACAAGGAGTTGTCAGTATACTGCAAGCAGGGCACATCCTGGCTACCTCTATGTCATCAATGACAATGCCGGGACAGACAAGATCTACATGGTTCATGATGACACAGCTAAAGTAGCAGGTACGTACAAGGAGTTGTCAGTATACTGCAAGCAGGGCACATCCTGGCTACCTCTATGCCATCAATGACAATGCCGGGGCAGACAAGATCTACATGGTTCATGATGACACAGCTAAAGTAGCAGGTACGTACAAGGAGTTGTCAGTATACTGCAAGCAGGGCACATCCTGGCTACCTCTATGCCATCAATGACAATGCTGGGGCAGACAAGATCTACATGGTTCATGATGACACAGCTAAAGTAGCAGGTTAGTACAAGGAGTTGTCAGTATACTGCAAGCAGGGCACATCCTGGCTACCTCTATGCCATCAATGACAATGCTGGGGCAGACAAGATCTACATGGTTCATGATGACACAGCTAAAGTAGCAGGTACGTACAAGGAGTTGTCAGTATACTGCAAGCAGGGCACATCCTGCCTACCTCTATGTCATCAATGGCAATGCTGGGGCAGACAAGATCTACATGGTTCATGATGACACAGCTAAAGTAGCAGGTACGTACAAGGAGTTGTCAGTATACTGCAAGCAGGGCACATCCTGGCTACCTCTATGTCATCAATGACAATGCCGGGACAGACAAGATCTACATGGTTCATGATGACACAGCTAAAGTAGCAGGTACGTACAAGGAGTTGTGTGTATACTGCAAGCAGGGCACATCCTGGCTACCTCTATGTCATCAATGACAATGCCGGGGCAGACAAGATCTACATGGTTCATGATGACACAGCTAAAGTAGCAGGTACGTACAAGGAGTTGTGTGTATACTGCAAGCAGGGCACACCCTGGCTACCTCTATGCTATCAATGACAATGCCGGGGCAGACAAGATCTACATGGTTCATGATGACACAGCTAAAGTAGCAGGTACGTACAAGGAGTTGTCAGTATACTGCAAGCAGGGCACATCCTGGCTACCTCTATGTCATCAATGACAATGCCGGGACAGACAAGATCTACATGGTTCATGATGACACAGCTAAAGTAGCAGGTACGTACAAGGAGTTGTCAGTATACTGCAAGCAGGGCACATCCTGGCTACCTCTATGTCATCAATGACAATGCCGGGGCAGACAAGATCTACATGGTTCATGATGACACAGCTAAAGTAGCAGGTACGTACAAGGAGTTGTGTGTATACTGCAAGCAGGGCACATCCTGGCTACCTCTATGCCATCAATGACAATGCCGGGGCAGACAAGATCTACATGGTTCATGATGACACAGCTAAAGTAGCAGGTACGTTCAAGGAGTTGTGTGTATACTGCAAGCAGGGCACATCCTGGCTACCTCTATGCTATCAATGACAATGCCGGGGCAGACAAGATCTACATGGTTCATGATGACACAGCTAAAGTAGCAGGTACGTACAAGGAGTTGTCAGTATACTGCAAGCAGGGCACATCCTGGCTACCTCTATGTCATCAATGACAATGCCGGGGCAGACAAGATCTACATGGTTCATGATGACACAGCTAAAGTAGCAGGTACGTGCAAGGAGTTGTGTGTATACTGCAAGCAGGGCACATCCTGGCTACCTCTATGTCATCAATGACAATGCCGGGGTAGACAAGATCTACATGGTTCATGATGACACAGCTAAAGTAGCAGGTACGTACAAGGAGTTGTCAGTATACTGCAAGCAGGGCACATCCTGGCTACCTCTATGTCATCAATGACAATGCTGGGGCAGACAAGATCTACATGGTTCATGATGACACAGCTAAAGTAGCAGGTACGTACAAGGAGTTGTGTGTATACTGCAAGCAGGGCACATCCTGGCTACCTCTATGTCATCAATGACAATGCCGGGGCAGACAAGATCTACATGGTTCATGATGACACAGCTAAAGTAGCAGGTACGTACAAGGAGTTGTGTGTATACTGCAAGCAGGGCACATCCTGCCTACCTCTATGTCATCAATGACAATGTCGGGGCAGACAAGATCTACATGGTTCATGATGACACAGCTAAAGTAGCAGGTACGTACAAGGAGTTGTCAGTATACTGCAAGCAGGGCACACCCTGGCTACCTCTATGCCATCAATGACAATGCTGGGGCAGACAAGAACTACATGGTTCATGATGACACAGCTAAAGTAGCAGGTACGTACAAGGAGTTGTCAGTATACTGCAAGCAGGGCACATCCTGGCTACCTCTATGTCATCAATGACAATGCCGGGGCAGACAAGATCTACATGGTTCATGATGACACAGCTAAAGTAGCAGGTACGTACAAGGAGTTGTGTGTATACTGCAAGCAGGGCACATCCTGGCTACCTCTATGTCATCAATGACAATGCCGGGGCAGACAAGATCTACATGGTTCATGATGACACAGCTAAAGTAGCAGGTACGTACAAGGAGTTGTCAGTATACTGCAAGCAGGGCACATCCTGCCTACCTCTATGCCATCAATGACAATGCCGGGACAGACAAGATCTACATGGTTCATGATGACACAGCTAAAGTAGCAGGTACGTACAAGGAGTTGTCAGTATACTGCAAGCAGGGCACATCCTGGCTACCTCTATGTCATCAATGACAATGCCGGGGCAGACAAGATCTACATGGTTCATGATGACACAGCTAAAGTAGCAGGTACGTACAAGGAGTTGTGTGTATACTGCAAGCAGGGCACATCCTGGCTACCTCTATGTCATCAATGACAATGCCGGGGCAGACAAGATCTACATGGTTCATGATGACACAGCTAAAGTAGCAGGTACGTACAAGGAGTTGTCAGTATACTGCAAGCAGGGCACATCCTGGCTACCTCTATGTCATCAAATGACAATGCCGGGGCAGACAAGATCTACATGGTTCATGATGACACAGCTAAAGTAGCAGGTACGTACAAGGAGTTGTCAGTATACTGCAAGCAGGGCACATCCTGGCTACCTCTATGTCATCAATGACAATGCCGGGGCAGACAAGATCTACATGGTTCATGATGACACAGCTAAAGTAGCAGGTACGTACAAGGAGTTGTCAGTATACTGCAAGCAGGGCACATCCTGGCTACCTCTATGTCATCAATGACAATGCCGGGGCAGACAAGATCTACATGGTTCATGATGACACAGCTAAAGTAGCAGGTACGTACAAGGAGTTGTCAGTATACTGCAAGCAGGGCACATCCTGGCTACCTCTATGTCATCAATGACAATGCCGGGGCAGACAAGATCTACATGGTTCATGATGACACAGCTAAAGTAGCAGGTACGTACAAGGAGTTGTCAGTATACTGCAAGCAGGGCACATCCTGGCTACCTCTATGCCATCAATGACAATGCCGGGACAGACAAGATCTACATGGTTCATGATGACACAGCTAAAGTAGCAGGTACGTACAAGGAGTTGTCAGTATACTGCAAGCAGGGCACATCCTGGCTACCTCTATGTCATCAATGACAATGCCGGGTCAGACAAGATCTACATGGTTCATGATGACACAGCTAAAGTAGCAGGTACGTACAAGGAGTTGTGTGTATACTGCAAGCAGGGCACATCCTGGCTACCTCTATGCCATCAATGACAATGCCGGGGCAGACAAGATCTGCATGGTTCATGATGACACAGCTAAAGTAGCAGGTACGTACAAGGAGTTGTCAGTATACTGCAAGCAGGGCACATCCTGGCTACCTCTATGTCATCAATGACAATGCCGGGGCAGACAAGATCTACATGGTTCATGATGACACAGCTAAAGTAGCAGGTACGTACAAGGAGTTGTCAGTATACTGCAAGCAGGGCACATCCTGGCTACCTCTATGTCATCAATGACAATGCCAGGGCAGACAAGATCTACATGGTTCATGATGACACAGCTAAAGTAGCAGGTACGTACAAGGAGTTGTCAGTATACTGTCAGTGTTTCCCCTTTCCTGGTGAATATACATATCAGTGTTTGGAAAAATGTAACTCGCTGGACAGATACTTGTTATACTGGCGTTCATGAAAGCTAATTTAGTGTGAGTTTCCTAGTGTATTTGTTGTCCACATGATCCAAAATCTGTGGCTGCAAATAGAAAATAGACAACAAAGAGATGAAGAAGAAGGCAGGCCATAGAAGAAGAAGACGGACTGTGCTTGCAACTGCTCCTCACTCAGTTACACCATTTCCAGATACTTATTAGAGATTCTATATTCAGTGGCGTGTAAACATACAAGTCAAAGATGGAGAATTAAGGCTGTAGAAGAAGAAGACGACAGTGGAAGAAGACGGACTGTGCTTGCAACTGCTCCTCACTCAGTTACACCATTTCCAGATACTTATTAGAGATTCTATATTCAGTGACGTGGAAACATACAAGTCAAAGATGGAGAATTCAGGCTGTAGAAGAAGAAGAAGAAGAAGAAGAAGAAGACAGACTATAGAAGAAGAAGAGGACAGTGGAAGAAGACAGGCTATGGGAGAAAAGGACTGACTCTGGAAGAAGACTGGTTATGGGAGAAGAAGACAAGCTGCAGAAGAAGACGAGCTGTAGAAGAATACAGACTTATATAGAATAAAGACGGAAACACGAAGAAGGAGCCATGTTATAGTAGAACAAAGGCTATAAGAGAAAAAGAAAGAAAAGCAAAACAAATCACAAACTAATTGTGCTGACGGTCGGCGTGAGTAATAACAGACAAAGAAAAGGTAAGTTTCCATTGTGATAAATGCCTTCTTTCCTTGTAATCCAGGTGTGCTTACCGTCCAGCACAGTCATGAGTTCGACTGGGAGGACATTGCTGTGGGTGACTGTCCACGTGGTTCTGGCACATGTATCTTCGTGGCAGATACGGGATCCCAGCATCACAACCAGGCCACGGTGTACGCTATCAAGGAGCCTTCAGCAACACACACCCAGAATGTTCAAGTCGCAGCTACCTATGGTTACAAGTACGTGCTTGCTGTATATCAACTAGAATGGGATAAACTCTTTTCTTTTGTATATCCCGACCATATAGAAGAGTTACATGTTGACTGTTAACAGTACAATTGGATTGCTAATTGGTAACTACTTAGAATTTGGTTGAAAATTACTGTTGGGCAAAATAAATCACACACCTGTCCATGAAGGTACATGTACCATTTTCATAGAATTAAACCTCAAGGTCATTGTTAAGCCATCATGAAATTACTGGGTTATAGAAATACACATTGTATGGCAGAGATTTCTTCTGGATGTCGAAAAGAGTTTTCACTTATATTGATATCACCTCTGTTTTTTTAAGATTATTTAATAGAAATAATGCACAAAGCGTTGCTTTTGATTTTTAATCATAAACGTTGGCTCCCTCTGAACCAATCAAACTAACCATGACAAAGCCTGCTTCAATCTGCTCATCAGGTCGAATAACCACGTATTGTTTTCATCCATGCCACAGGGTTTAGTTCGTTATAACCAAAGTTCGTTACACCCATTTCGACTAAACCATGCAACAAGTAACCAGGATAAAACTGGTCATTACAACCGTCAGTTCGTTATAACCGTCAGTTCGTTATGAACGTAGGATACTGTAGTTCGTGGGTGGAAGAGGATGAGGTTTGACTGACGGAACTTGTGGTTGTGTTGTAGGTGGAGTGAGGGTTCGTCTGAGGCAATGGTGGTAGATTCATCAGGAGATGTGTACATGTTCTCAGAAAACAGTGGAAAACCTGCTCACATGGCAAAACTCCCCTCACAGAACTGGAACAATGGGAAGGTCAATACCATTTACTCAACGCTGACTCTTCCATTCACGTCGTCCAATTCTGGTCCACTTGCAGCAGACATCTCCCCAAGTGGCACAGACCTGCTGATAAAGACGCTGAATCACATCTATTACTGGAGCATGCCTGATAAGTCGGTCACTAATGCCCTTCGACATTCTGGCATTGGCGTGCCTGATGTGTATGAAAATCGTGGAGAGTCTGTAGCCTGGAAATGGAATGGTTCTGGGTATTACACAGTTGCTCAAGACTCCCACCAGGCGCTTCACTTTTACCAGCGCAAGGCACCCATTCCATCTACTCAACCACGTCACACCACACCAAAGCCAACTCATCACACAACACCAACTAAGCCAACATCTCCTCACTCGGTTACACCGTTTCCAGATACTGGTTACTACAATGAGTTCGTGGAGATTGGTCACGTCGATTCCTCAAAGGGTCTGCAGATGACGTCAGGTCTGGCAGCCAGCCGCAAGCATCCAGGGTACCTGTACGCCATCAATGACAACAGCCACTCAACCAGTATATACATTGTGGACGAATGGACAGCTTCCGTGGTTGCTACACTGCATGTGATGTCCGCATCAGCTTCTGATTGGGAGGACATTGCAGTAGGCCCTTGTCCTGGGTATGAGACATGTATTTACATCGCAGACACTGGATCTGGCGGTCACCCAGCCAAGAACACCGTGTACAAGATCAAGGAACCCAAACAGATAAAGACACAGAATGTTCACCTAGAAAAATCTTTGCATTTCACGTGAGTATTACGATTTTTTTGTATAGACAGATCAAAGTGTCTTCCTTGGATATTTAATGACTACATTCGTCATACTTTATTGACTAACATTAAGTGTGCTCATTGTTCGTTTCAGTTGGAGTAAAGGATCGTCAGAGGCACTGATGGTGGACAAAAATGGTGATGTCTACATTTTGTCTGAAGCCACAGGATCAGGAAGCAAACTGGCAAAACTGCCCAGCAATGGATGGGGCCAGAGCCATCCAGTGACCTTATCTCATTTACTGACCTTGCCTCTTCACACAAGCACACTGGGTCCCGTTGCTGCCGACATCTCACCTAATGGGCAAGACCTGTTGATCAAGACGGTGAACCACGTGTACCATTGGCACATGCCTGACGGGGATGTGGAGAAGGCTCTTCAGCATCCAGGGGAGCAGGTGGCATATCATTCTGAAGGTCGAGGGGAAGCTGTTGCTTGGAACACAGATGGGAACGGGTACTTCACGTTTGGGCAAACAGGAAATGACATCCTGTACCTCTTCCGCCATCGAGCTGATCCAGTTTGCAACTGGTGTCACTGAAACAACCCGACCTTTCACAAGTCGACACTGAGATGGAAACGAAATCTCATGATTAAAGATGTGCCCAGATCCCTTTCTAAATAGTATTTCTTCTTCAGAATGCGTTCCCTCTCAGAGAGAACTTGAGCAGTGGGGTAGCTTAGTGGTTAAAGCTCTTCCTGCCGAAAAGGGCCGGATGCGATTCTCCACGTTGTTACATTGTGTGAAGCGCATGTCGGATGTCTTCCGCCGTGATATTGCTGGAATGGTACTAAAAGCGGCGTAAGACTCAAGTCATACTCAAAGAGCACTTTCAAAATTGGAAAGGTTCTGTGAAAGCTTGAAAGTGTTGAAAGTGTTGAATATGGACTGGTGAGCTCTCCGCATGTTGAATTGGTGAGTTCTCAGCGTGTAGGATTGGTGAGCTGTCCGCGTGTATAGTATATGTAAATAGTACAAATTTCGCTTATCATTACAGCAATCAGTTCACGTAATCAACACGCAATGACTGTAAATTTATTGCATAACAGACATAAGAAAATATATACAAATGTTACATATACATGTGAAGACTAATAACATATTTAAAAGACTCTTTATAAAACAAAATATCTAATTTAATATTTTAATTTCATATGTATTCATGGGAATTATATAGCTGCTACGTGTATCATCACTAGACACTTGGTACAGGTAGATACTCAACTGACAAGGCTGACATCTGATATATATTTTCTGCACACGTGTAAATACAAATTAAACCGGAACTGGTTAATCAGGCGTATACATCCGGTGTCATAGAAGAATGTGAGTGAGTGAGTTAAGATTTCAAATAACATGGGCAATATTTCAGCCATATCGTGACTAAATCAAACCATAGATTTATAGTCACTGAAAGTAAATTTAAAAAGCAGTCAACGATGGACAGTAAAGCAACTAGATTATCACAGATATATATTTAACTCGTAATAAATCTAAAATATTTTAACTATAAATGACAATACAATATAAAAACAGGCTTTACATTGCCAACAACTGAAGGTAGATCACCATACTAGGGACCATGGGGACTTAAAGTACATTTGCTTCCTGCATGGATCCAAGCTGGGCTTACACCATCAGATGGTAGCAATTTTTGACAATCTAGCAATAAATTTAAAACAACAACCTATATATACTGCAGTTGAAAATAGTAGTACGTTTAAATTTACTATAATTGTTTTAGGACTTACGGACCCTCTCAGGAGGACAACAGTTTGACAGAACTTTAACCCCCTTCGAGGTGACAGCCACTAACAAAATCAGTTGTTGATTTACACTACTAATCAGAAAACATTGATCTGTGTACACGTCACAACTCTATTTCTTTTAAAAAGTCTATGATTAAATGATAATTAACATTAGTTAAAAGGTCTTGCAAAGTTTCTGCTTCTTGCATGGTTCCCAAGCAGGATTGAGCGCTCTGACATATTATATGGAGTGATACATTTATTGGAGTGTATATCAAATAAACCTAACATGAGTATACCACTCAAAACTAAAATACGTAACCATTCACTCAATATACATATAATCTTCATTACCTGAATTTACCCGTTTACCTACATGGACAGTCAGGTATAGAAACATTATCAACACCATTTGCAGCAGTAGTACAGTTGCCATAACATAGTGTAACATTTGTACAGAAATGTTGGCCATTAGTTGCCCAGTCAAAAGAGACATTACAGAATACCCTGCCATATCCCCAATGGATGATATACCATACAGTATAGGCCTGTGCCTATTGACCTCAAGGACCCAGGTGTTAAGTGCCGAGATCACGGGTGAAGTGACGCCAGCCAAAATACTTGTCCCAATCCACAACCATATCGTGTCCAGTTCCGATACGTATACAAGCATGGCAGACACCATGATACCTACAGCGGCGCATGCATTAACCAGAACAGTTTGTTCAACAGCAAGGCTACTGAGGGTTCCAAACAAACGACCGAACATAACACAGACGTATAACGATAAGGACATATTTGTCAATTGTCTCGTATCTGCATGTAATTTGCAATGTATTCCAAATGTTGGCAAGAAATGACCATATACGAAAATCATAGGCCCACAGATTACAGTATACATTGTGAAAATGATTAAAAATATGCCATCAATTAAACTGATTGCAATCACAGGCATCTCCTTTGGTTGATTCACGTATGTGTCATCTTGAAATACCCGTTGTGTGAGTAAATAAGCTGAAAACAAAACCACTCCAAGAAGTGCCATAATCAAAAACCCATACATGAGATCGGAATTGAAACGGTAACATATGCGGTCTCTTAATTGTGTAGTAATGTTCTGTGCTGTACATGTCATATTGCCATGATGAAAGGCTGCATCAGTTCTGTTCTGTGCTGTACATGTCATATTGCCATGATAAAAGGCTGCATCAGTTCTGTTCTGTGCTATAAATGTCATATTGCCATGATGAAAGGCTGGATCAGTTCTGTTCTGTGCCATAAATGTCATATTGCCATGATGAAAGGCTTGCCTAGTGTACCTTTGTGCAACACTGTCAGATAGAAATGGGGAAATGATCAACGGCCCTGTAACGGATCCTGCTGACGTAGCTAAGTTGATGATGTGAATGGTTGCAGCATGCTGCTTACTCAGTTCCCCGGAGAGGATCATCCTTGCTGTAAAATATAAAGATTATAACTGAAAGAATATTTGTCTTCGGTTCCACATTATAATGTTTTTTTTGTAGCAAAGTTGGGATTTTAATGAAATATTTCCACAATGATTGGGTTTATGTGGATACTTTAGGAATAACCATAAGTCTTCAATATGGGCAGTGAAGGAATAAATCAAATAACAGACTTGAACTGACTCCAACGTTCAGGGCTGCACAAATACAAACATTCGTCCTGTTTCAACACTGCCATTTTACATCACAATAATTTAAACACCACAGAATTCTTCGAATAATTCTTTGCCCCCAGTGCAAACATGACAATATTGAATGTGATTGGTAAAATATAATCAATATTGTTTATGAGTGTTGAATATATGAAAATGTTATTCATATTAACTTCCGCCTGAAGTACTGATTACCTCGCTCAAAAAAGTTAAATATGCAAGGGAATGTCATCACGTACAACGTCACTCAACGTTGCAGATGGGGTTATTCGCGTAAGAACGTATTAAATTAACACTTATAACAATCACGACTTCATTGCTGACCTGAACACTTCAACAAACTACCATTCTATATGCTCTGGAGTGAGTTTAGTTTTACGCCGCACTCAGCAATATTCCTGCTATATGGCGGAATATATGCTTTGGAAGGCATAATATTGTAAACTGTGTATTGCATGTCTTATCAATTTGCACAGTTACATAATGAAACCGCTGTTTTCACGAGATAACATATTGCCTGCAGAACATGCATGTACATGTGTGGGTTAACATTAGCCTTACCGTGCACTGACGCTCCATGAGCCAATCCAACTGCGCCCGATAATCCAAGTGCCATCCAAAATGAGGGTAGTACAGGAACGACGGCCAAGAGACAGCTTGCCATTGTCATAGTAGCTGCTGCTACTCCGTAGATGTCGACACGACCTGGAATTTTCAAGAACAGTAGTGCCCCGATGACCCTACCTGCTGTAATGGCAGGCTGGAACAGACTGACCTTCTGTAGTGTCACATTGAAGATACATTGTAGATCTCGCAGTGCAGGTCCCATGCAACTGTCAACCATGCCCTGTGGAGATACACAACATCAGGTATGGAAACTTTACAACTAGACAGAAATAATGGAATGGTTAATTATGTGTGGCATATTGACAGTAATCTGCGATTGTATGTACAAAATGTATAACGTTTAAGGTGCAGTTCAGACTAAAAGGTAAAATAGAGTTGAGAGAAAAAGAAATAATTCATCATAGCGTTATATACTTACGTGCTGAATAAGACAACACATCATTATATACTTACATCCAACACTGCTATCAAACACAGAAACCCTATCCGAACATATAGCTTTGTGGAGGTTTTCATATTGTGGATGCTCGAGGCAATGGAGGCCGTTTCATCGTAGGTTTGCAGCTAACATCTGGCGTTTGTCTGTGTTTATATTTACAACGCATTCGGCCTACTAGAACTAAAGTGTAGTCCAAAAAAGCATAATTAAACGCAACTGTTGATTTAGACTTGTTATTCTAGATGAGGATTTAAAAATACGAAACTACATTAGTGGAACACGTGTCCCAACTTGATTTTCATATGTCTCTCAATGCTAGGCCACTAGATCACTAGTGAATAGAAAACAAATGGTTTGAACAGGAACGTCGCTGGTTCCATCCCCAGCTGTCCTACCAAATTACATTGAAAGTTCGTGCGTGTTGTTACCCTGACTGTTCTTACACGTGAGAAAAATAATGGATCAAGCATTTTATTACTTCTGACATAATCTACACTGCGAGACATCAGAGACACCAGTTACATACAGAGTCGTCCCTGTGACGGAAGAGATACAACATGGCATCGTGTCCTTGACCGAAAGTAAAATACCCGTCTCCTTCAGTGTTCCAAGCAACAGTTTCTCCATGATTGTCAGGATGGTATGTAACCTCTTCACCCGGGTGTTGGACAGCCTTCCAGACATCACCGTCAGGCATATGCCAATGGAAGATGTGATTCACCGTCTTGACTAATAGATCCTGACCGTTGGGTGATATGTCTGCAGCCACAGGCCCAGGGCTGTTTGTATGTAGCGGCAAAGTAAACAGAGATGATAGGGTCACAGTTTGGTTTCGACTCCATCCACTGCTGTACAGCTTGGCTAGTTTGCTGCCTGTACCTACTGACTCGGATATAATATAGACATCGCCGTTTTGGGCCACTGCCAACGCCTTTGATGAAGTTTCGCTCCAGCTGAAGAGAACGAACATATCAATTGTCAAGTAAAAACAACCCCAAACTGGCTTAATTCCACACAGCATCTATCGTCTACCGTCAGTGCTAAATAATACATAGTCTAATGCTATCCTCAGAAACATATTCCATTTGGTGAAAAGG